CGTTCGGGATCTGCGCTGTCGCATTCGCGACTCTCCTTAAATTTATATACATATATACAACTAAAACTAAACTAAGCTAAGAACTAACTAACTTAACCTAGCTTATCTCCTAAGTAAATGTACATATACATATACATCTGGCCACGAATGGGGGGGGCTGGATGGGCCAATACCCCCCTCCCTCCGCGGCCTCTCCTTACTACCACCACCACCGGCCACGAGGGATGCAGGAGGGCAGGATAAACCAGTACCCTTCCCACATCCCTCGCGGCCCCACCTTACCTGTGGGCCTGCACGGAGGCGGACAACACCCAATCCACCTCCGGCGCCCTCTCCCTATGGGCCGGCTAGCGCGCAAGACGCGTTGGGAACGACAACCAACTAGTCAAGCGCGCGCTGCCGACCCTGGTGTTTGGTTCGCGGGGCTTGCGGGGCTTGCGCCCTACCCCGACACGAGTGCCAGGGCGTTCCCCTATCCACCACCCGGGGACGCGCCACGTCGGAGTTCACCTCTCCGCCCACCCGGACAACCGGGCAGGTCCGTGGAGGTCCGTGGAACCTAACCTAACCTAACCTAACCAAATTCAAGGCCGACAATATCGAACATGATCTGTACAACATGTATAGTCACATTCACACCTACTGCCTGCACCACTTGTATTATTTAGCCAATAGCTCGCCCCCTATGGTCAACAAGGGGAACCAAAACGTTACTTAGTCGACAGATGGAGCTAGAGACTTACAGTTTGCCAAATATACTCAAATCATTATCACCAGGCGCGACCTTTAAACACAATCCCCATCCTACCTTCGCCTTTCCCAATGTTTACTCACTTTCTTTTCCGAAAGCCAGTTATAATATGGCTCGCAAGGGACGTACTAGAACAACGTACTCTAGCGACAAAATTCCAAACACCTATGCGCCAAACTGTCACCGCTAACGCCACTCTCCGACAGATGGCTCTACAACAAATACGCCTAGCAATATCGAATATCGTTTCATCTCAGTTAATAAAGTTAGGAAATCTCGCGAATGCTTTGCAACCCAAAAAGTCAGATGGCGTCAGATGTATGCGATGTTTTGATAATTTTGCTTTAGATCCGTGTTACTTATAACTTTATTCGTTTTTAGTTTTATTCCTTGTTCTTGTAATTCAATTTAACACTATGTCACTCTGTTTTGTCTTTTACTGTCTACTCTTCATTGTTTCGTTTAGAATGTGGTTGGATTCCAAATTATATTAATTATGTTATATAGAATGAGTGGAATGTATGTATACATAGAATTAGGTATAGTATTAAGTTAGATATTAGGAGCACTGTGCCCAGGCAGCAGTCGGACAATAGTATCAAATCGCTTAGGAAGACTGCTGCCTGGACCTTGGAAGTTGTTATCACTTAGCGAGTAAGGACATGTTGAAAAAAAAATTTTTTTTTCAACACCCTCCCGGGTGGGAGTATATTGTCATATACTCCCACCCGGGAGGGTGTACTCTCGGGTGGAAAATAA